GGAAAGTATTTGGTCCATCTGAGAATCAAGGTATCGTTTTGGTAGCCTAAAAATGAATTTATGTCAGTGCCTAACTGTAGGTATTTACATTTGAATCTGTTGTATAATTTTTCCAAATTGGAAAAACAGACTGTACAGCTTGGCAGTGTTTGAAAGGGCACGGGATAGTAAATCTGACCCTTATTGATTTCTTTTTCATTTTTTTCTCAAAATAATGTTAACTGACTCCAGCGAGCTCATGTTATATATTATCTAAGGCACTCACAAAAGAGCACATGTAGTGAAAAGGATGCCTTCATCCTATAAAGAGAAAGAAAATTGAAGATTTGAAAAATACTGACCAACTCAATGAAAAGAAAAAGGGCCTTCCTGTTGGTAAGAGTTGAGCTAAACTAACACAGTCAATAGATTCAATCAGCTATTAGATAGAAGCACCAAAAAGCCCCACTGAAGCACAAGCTGTACAGATGCTGGGCAAGCCAGGTCAAACTGATGCAATTTCTCTTCTGGACATGCACTGTGCTTGGTGCAGGGGTGCATCAAGTTGAAAGTAAAGCCCCCCCCCCTCCCCCCCCCGCATGTCTGTAAGCACCCAACATCTTTCTCCTCACTGCTGATTTTAACAGAGATAAAAGGTAGAATCCTGTTTCACCTAGTGCACTACCAAAAACAGCTTCAACCTCAAATAAGTTGAGGTTACCCAACTATTATGTAGGAGCATGACAAACCCCATCCTCCACATAGGAATAGCATCACACTCCTGAGACATACAACCATCTCCCTATTCCTTACATGTGCAAAGGGGTGCTAGAATGAATTCTATACAATAGTTAGGTAATTTGGAGTTAGTCTCAAGCTGCATGGTGGTTATCCACTAGGTGAAACAGAGTTCTGCCCAAAGTCCTGCTCATTTTAAGCAATAACTAAGAAGTAAGTAACACAAGGATAATTAACAGCATCAACATCAACGCATCCATCATCTCCACGATCTATCTAGTCATTAGGTCAAGCAAACATGTTTCACCCAATTACTCCAGCAATTGAAAGCATATTTTTACAAGCACAATATGTACTAGTATCATGGAGTGTAACTGCTAGTTGCTATTAAAGGAGATCTATCATGTTGTCTCTGAAGCAAAGGCAGAGTCTCTTCCTTGCTGTCTTTTTTTCCCTAGGAAAGTAACTTCGCTTCATCTATTGTTTCTTGCCTCTCTTTTTAGGAGGGAGGGGCAGGTTGGTGAAAGACAGCCAAATTCTGTCCTGTTGCCCTCTGCCATTTTAGGTGTATGAACTACTTGTAAAATATAAAAGCTGCACTGGAAACAACCAACTGATGGACCCATGCATAAACCACTACCAAAGTAAGATACTGCTAAATGGCAGTAATGGGGTGCCTGTTCAAAATGAGTATCTTTTAGAAAGTGTCATTACCCTGCAGTAGTCCCTGGGCTAATAGCCTAATGAGCATCACATCAGGCTAGAAATGTTAATTTAATCAGATTTTATCCTGAATTTGATTAGTCATAAGAAAGCATTAAGTTTGTCTGTCAAATGAAGAAAGAATTTACCACCATTTCAGACCTATTTCTTATGCAGTTAGATCAAACAAATTAATAGGGTGCTATTAATGAAGCAGTCATGCTTCAGGTTAGTGAGGGATTTCTACACGTCTTACCTCACATGATTCTATCAGATTTAGAATGCAAGTCAGAGATCGGTAAGGTCACTGTTTTTTTAAATTAGTTCTTGTTAAGATTCTGTGAACTCCCTTTTGTTCGGTTCTGTTGTTTTTTCTCTTTGTTCCTTGGTTTCATAATGTTTTCATTTTATTGTCTGTTTGTGATCGCATTTGGGTTGTTTTTTTTTAATATGTGAACTGCGTTTCTTTTAAATTAATAATAAATCCCTTTAACCTGACAAATCTTTGACAGAATAATGCATTATTGCTAAAACCAAGTGCACACCAGCCTCCTTACAATTTTAAGTCAGAATATTTGTCTATTCCTGAATAAGGAGAAGTACATTTTGCATACATATATGCATAGCTTACATACAACTGTGAGCAAAGTATATATTGACTGCTAAGTCCTCAGTGCAAGGCAGTGCATTAGGCAGAGTTTGGTCTTTGTTTTACTGTGTTTGAGCTAGAAGTTTGTTTATAACTTAGGTCCAAAATAGAAATGTGGTGGCATCATCATAGGCTGTCCACTTGAATGTTGCACTGACTTGAACCTAAATGCTAATATCAAATCTCTTTGTTGTAATAATAACGTTTTTAACATGTGATTTATGTTTTATAACCTACATTGTTCACTTCAGTTGTGAAAGTTTTCAGCATTTTAAGACTGAAGTTTTTAAAAGCAGCTGAATAGCATTTGATTCTTTTTTTTCTTCCACTGATTTCTTATGGTTATATATTTTGAGGGGGGGAATCATTCTGTTTGCTTTTTTTTTTCCTGTAAATTTTCACATTTTATTCTGCCGATAGAGTCCAAATAAAAGTTTGTTGGTGAAGCTACAATTTAGCCTCAGTGCTGTTTGAGTCTGTAAGGTCCATGTTCTTTAAGGTGCTGAGCAACTACAGGAAAATGAAGGTACATATCACAGGATGGTGCTCTATTCTTAAATTATGTTTCCCTCTACAACATAATTTTGAGCATGATCCCCGCCCCGCACCCCCGCTGCACCCCAACAGGTGCAATCTCCTCCATCCATGGGCCTGCATCCCCTCTCCCCCTGCATGGCTGTGCATTCAACCTCAGCTTCCTGCTCCAGAGAAAGGAGTGGGAGGAACAGGCAGCCCAGGGAGATTCTGGAAGCTGCCTGGGGGCTGCCTCTAAATGAGCAATAGTCTGGTATAAGGGCATGGTATAGAAAACTGTTCTATCCTTGGCTCTGCTGTAGGCCAATAGGATATAATTTCACCCTCTATATGCCATCCCCTCCTTCCATCCCTTGTCTAGCTTACCCATTAAGACTAGAAGTTCTGGTAAGGTGGGAACAAACTGTTTTGGGAACGAACTGTCTCTAAATGGTGAGTGTACGTGGAGTGCCTCAAACCTGATGCTGGATCCACTCAGTACAATATCATACATACAATAAATATCACAAGAACATAAGAACAAGAATTGCCATTTACCTGGGTTGGACCATTCGGGTCCCTCTTGCCCAGTCTCCTACGTCACACAGTGACATAACTCCTGGGCTCAATAGTTACTGATGCCCCTTTCCTTCAAGAATTTTTCCACTCCCTTTTTGAATATGGCTAAACTGTCAGCTTCCACAACATCTGGTGGCAATGAGTTCCACACTTGAATTATACACTGTGTTAAAAAGAACTTCCTTTTATTCGTTTTAAATTTACTACCTACTAGTTTCATGTTGTGACCCCCTCCGCCCCCCAGTTCTTGTATTGTGACAGAGTAAAAAATAAATTCCTATTTACCTTTTCCTCACCATTCGGTATTTTGTAAACCCGTATTATGTCTTCCTTAAAGTTTCTCTTTACAAAGGCACGCACCATAGTTGAGGATTGCTCATAAAACAAGGATTCAGCTTCCTTCTAATGTATCACAAATGCAGCGTATGCTCTCCAGAGTTGCAATACTCATTCAGAATACTGAAGAATCCTTTTGAAATTGTACACAAGAAAATATCTATCAACTTTTTAAAAGATCTGTTTAATAGCAAAACTTATTTTCCCAAGTGATCTGTTCAGACATTTTCTGACTGCACAAAAAAGTAGTAGAGAAGTAAACTTTGAATACACCTAATGCAGCAGGTGATGGTGGATTTTTTTTCTAATTAAGATTAATTTATTCTCAAAATGCTTCATAATTGAAAGTTTTGTTTCAGCAGAGCCTGAAGAATAACATTTACGAAAGAAACACAAAGAATTTGCTAATTTAAAAGCATCTGCCATCGCCTGCTGTTCTCAAGGAAACTGTTGCCACAGGATGACCATGAGAGGGGATTTTAGAAAAGGAAGGAAAGTGGAAGGTAAAAGTGTATACATGTATAAGTAGGCCCAGTGTGAAGAAGAAACAGAGGTGCACACTGGCTGCTTTGAAGCTTGCAATTTCACAATTCAGTCTTTCTTCTTTAATATCTTAGTGTCTTTTAAATATAAGCTATCCTACTCTGTATTTCAGAATTTGCTGGGGAAGGTCATTCCAGCCTTCTGTATTTTATTTTTATACCTGCACAGATTACTTATCCTGGCCCAGTTTAAACGTTTCACTTTACAGGGCTACAGCTGTCCCTGCCCATAAGTACTTTCATGAACTGGATATTCCCCTATACACATCTTCACTGCAGGCTGCAGACCTGCTTGGGACTATGAACCCACTTGGTGTATTTGACCTCATTCATTTCTAAAAGGTGCGTTTTATAATTGCCATACCACCATGTGATGTTGAGATTTATTGCAACTGCTGCAAAAACTAGAGACCATCTTCACCTTTCATTCCTCTATTGTAACCACTACAGTGATGATCTCCGGTTGTGTCAGTATATTTACAGTTAAGCATGTTTCAGTGTTTTGCTGGATCTGATACTGTCATCTTTTGTTTATGTTGGAAACTGTCCCCTGGGGGAGAGATTCCTGGTTATAAAAAGACCTGATAGGAACTCATTTCATTATTGCCCATCAGAGACATTATTCAGAAATGTTGAGATTCACTGTGCAGCTGCTAAGTATATTTTATTTTAGAATTGCTATATATTTTCAGGGCAAAATTTGTAACTCCACTGCTGGAATTATTCTTTTACATTTTTTAATTTGCTGTCAAAAATATTAAGGGATTTGAACATAATCAAAAAAAATTAAAGGACTCTAAGAAAATAATAAGCATCTTGGACAGTTGCCATAAATATTTTAGAACTGTTTTGAGAACTAAGGGTAACATAGGGAAAAAATCATAAAATCAGGATAGTTTTATTTTGTTCTTTCAGAGAGAGGACACTTTAAGGAAGTTAGATATTCCAAAACACCAATACTTTAATTTACATAGCAAGAAACAAAAATATCTGCATTGCACATATTTCTTTAAAAATGAAGTCGCAGTAGATAAGGCAGAATCTGGACATTTCTAATGGGGCTTTTCTAACTCAGCTATTTTAACTGTACCATATATGATCATTCATTCAAAAACATGCAAGGGGTTAAGAAACATCATTTATTTTTTTCCTTTTGTACAACCAGCGATGTCATTTTAGATCTTTAAAATAAATAATCTGAGTTATAAAACGTATTTATTTCTGGGAATAAAAATTCCCTTACCAGTGGCTTCTTGCCTTCTTAGATTTTACACAGAAGGACCCAAGATGGAACAGGCTTCAAACAAAATTAGGGATTCAACACAAACTGGAGCAGAAACTAAAAGCTGGCATTATGCATAGATTATTCTACATGACTTCTTCATAATGATCACACATTTACAAAGATTTACAGCATAAAAGGTATTCAGTGTGGCTTGGCAGCCATGACTATTGAAATCACAGTAATTTGTAGATAAAAAGAAACAAACACATGGTAGAATGAATGTAGACAAGGTGATGTGATCAGTTAAGTTGGCATCTATGGAATTTATTTTACAAATATAACCCAAAGGAGTTGTAGCTAGAAATGAATTAAGAAAAACATTCCTTCTTTTTTATTTGGTCTTGGCCCTAAAGCCCAGTATATCACTGAACAGCATCATGGCAGGGGTATGACTGAAAAATGCCTTTATTTTAAAAATAATTTATTTGAAAATTGCCTTGTATCCCTAGGGCAAAGACAAAGCCCAAAGGCCTTGCCCATGCAGTTTTGAAAGCACCACTGTTCCAAATTGTATTGCCAACAAACATTTGAAAGATGGTACAACAAAGTGTTAAAGTTTTTTCCTATTAAAGCCTTGGTTGATGAAGTTTTCCTTGTTTGGTATGTTTCTCCTCTGTGTCAGCTGTATGTGCAAGTAGTAAATTGATGCTAACATTTCCTGGTACTTGCGTTGCACTTTCATGGCCCTTTCACATTCTTACCAGCTCTCTGTCCAGCTTGCATTGTGCAAGATGATGGCTCACAATATCCTGGAGGACCAGGAGGACCTGGAGGACCAGGAACTCCAGGCTGACCAGCTATACCTGGTGGGCCTCGTAGCCCATCACGTCCTTCCCTACCGTAGCTGGGTTTGCCTGGTTCACCTGCAAGAGTGAACATACACATTAACATGCAGCAGCATACAGCATAGAAAACTCCCTTCTTCAAAGTGACTGTGAAGTGGTTTTGTGAGGCTCCGTGTTTACTGTCTCTCAATGAGTTCCATAGAACGGGTGTAGTGGCAGAGCGGTGACGGTATCTTGCAATAGCTCTGGAGATGTGAGGTCAAGCCTCACTTGTGCTAAAGGGTGTCCCTAGCTGACCCAGCTATAAATGGGTATCTAGTCGCTTAGGGCAGGGACTCAACAGCGCCAGACCTGACTCTGACCACATCTCTTCCTTGTGTGAGGCTGGCTGCAGAAACTGCTGGTGTGCTAACCCAGGGATCTCAAACTCACCTGGCTCTATGGACTGGATGAGGATCTTGGAGTCAGTTTGTGCGCTGGATCAGGCTGCACTACAGCCAGTACGCAGGGCCAGTTTGGCGGGTGCTGAATGCAGTGCGCTCCCAATGCCAGCCTCAGACTCCTCTGCACCAGGGCTTGCACCACAGGTGGCACATGGGCCGAGCCAAGCACCTCAGGTGCTACATATGACCCTGAGAAAGCGCTGTATGCAGTGTCCCGCAGAACAGGCCCTGCACACTGGTTCCAGGGCTAGTCTAGATTAGGCTCTGGGCTATGTGTGCATGCCATGCACAGCCATGAACAGGGCTGGTGCAGGGCCAGTGCATGCTGCATGTGGTGCATGGGCTGGACCTGATGCCACAGGTACTGCCACATGGCACAGGGGGCCCACATGGGGGGCACACTGCATGCAGCATCCTACCAGACTGGCCCTGAGCACTGGCTCTGGCATGGCCCAATTTGTCTTCTTTTGGCCACTTTTGGCCAGTTATATTGCATTTATGAGGAAAAACCTGGTTTCTGATACTCTGTAGCATAACATGGCAGTTCACTACCAGAAAGTAAAGACAACCTATACTTTGAAATCCTAAGTTATGAATGGAGGCTTTGAATGCTGCTTCTGTTGACTGGGGCAAGAGTTGTGTTTTTGTAGTTTTCATTCTGGAAATTGATTATTTCAATATTTTTTATTTGCAGACATTTGCTAGCCCCCCTCTACACGTTACATCTATTGCACAATTACATGCTTACTGGTTAACTGCACAATTAATTTAGATTGGCTACACATGCAAATTAATCATGGTGTCTTAAAAAGGGCCAGCCAGCTATAAAGTTATTGCTGGAAAATGTTATTTCTATCCAGCTTTAATTTGAATGTGTAGCCTGTGCCCCCACGGGTATAAAAACTGCAGCTGCTATGATCTCTCAGCTGCGAGGAGCCCCAGCTGCAAGACTTGCAGCTGCAGGAGCTTGCTAATTGCCAGGGCAAAGGAAGCCTAGGATGGCAATCCCAGGCTCCCCCGGTACCAGCAGTAGGTCATGATCTTATGCTGGATCCCACAACCTTGTGGCTTGTCAGGAGGTGCAATTGTGTGGATTGTGCATTAGATCACATTGTGTCTTTGCCAGCCTGCACATGTAAAGAGGTCTTAATTGACATCAATGGTAGCAGGCTTATTTCTTTTTTCATAAAATACTCATCATTCTGGCATATGTAGCTATTGATCTACAATGAAATTGCAGCTCTACAATGAAACTGACAATCTACAATATGATTATGTAGCTATTCATCTACAATGAAAACATGAGGAAACCTGCCTCTTCTCTTAATAAACACTTGCGTTTCCAGTTTTTCAAAGAGACCAAAACATCAGTTCTTAATTAATTTTGCTACATATTTGTTTTCCCTCTAATCTTCCTCCTACCCAGTGCATTTACCTGGAAGGCCTGTTGTTCCAGGTAAGCCTTTGGGTCCTCTGCCAGGAAATCCTCTGTCCCCCTTTTCACCAGCATCACCTGTGATAAACCAGTGACACGTTATTTACAGTTTACGCAAAGAAGAGATTTCTGCCTCAAGAGTTTAACACAACTTAGCCAACCAAACTGGCCTTCAGAGGCACCTCTGACTGCCTGGCCTGACTTGCATTTTTGCAAAAATATCCTTCCCCCAGAATTGATTTTCTCCATGACTGCAGTTAAATGCTGTTTTCACATTTGAAACCCAGAAAAACTAGCCAAAATCAGAAGCATGTACTATTGTTAACATTTCTAAGGTGCTCCTTACCTTGCTATCTCAATGCAGTTAGACACAGACTAAACATTCTCATTTGCTCTATCAACCAAATAGATATCAACGTGCTTCTGCAATTTCAGTCATTAAGGCTGCATGGAAGCCTCACAGCTTTTCCTGCATATATGCAGCTACTTTCCTACCCTTGCTTTCAACACCTCAATATTAACACGTGGTGGTCAGATCCTGAGAGGTACCAAGTAATCTAAGCCCATGAGCTAAGATTTCAAAAGGCACCTGGTTGCAGCAATGTTGTGCATTGTCTCATCTAAAATTTAGGCTTGCATGCCCATAAGTAAAATTCAACAAACCAAGTCAGGCATCCCATACCTCCCCTACTTTGACTGGAGAGGTTAAGCACCTTCTGGTCAAAATTAACAGCATTCCCTCCTAAGCAGGGGGAATGCATATGGCAGCCAATAGTGTGTGTAGAGGAAAGAACTGTGCCTGGAATCCTGCCTCAAGTGAAGCAATATTTATACTATTCCCTGCAGACCCAAGTTAGGTGTTTCTGCTGTTAGGGGACTCAAAGGCTTTGGGCTGGACTACACTGAGGGCACCCTTCACCACCCCTCCCTGTTGAAGCTTAGCCATTTCACAGCCACAAGTGCCAGAGTGATTGGACTAGAGGACAGTAACCAAGAAAGAGCCTGATTCTCTAGGTTCAGTGAGGCGACCTCTAGCCTGGGACGGAGGCAGCCCTGACCCCAAGTTCCAGTGCTGTTTATGCCTATTATTCAATGTCTCTTTATTGCAAAAATGCATAGCCAGTCACATAGGAGAGGAAGCCCAGAATTCAGGGCTTCCTCTCCTATGCAGGAGGGTCCACCAGAGAATGGCTATAGGCTAGCCAGCAAACAGCAATAAATGCTGCTCCTGAGGAGTCCCCATAACTTGAGGTTCCTACAAGAAGTCCTGAGTCAAGCTGCTTCAGCTTGCAGCTGTTTTCAATTGCCATCCCTGGTCCCTAGCTCCCACCCAATGCTGCACAGGGAGCCTAGGCATTTCTTTCTGGGTTTTAGATTCCAGTCAGGACAGCCAGAGGTCCTAAAGTTAGGTGCTGCAGCATCTAATTTGCAGGTGCCTAAATTCTTCATTAGATCTAAAGCTAATATTGCTATGCTTCAGAGAAACTTAAACTGAAAGCTTTTTAGATCTAAACCTATGCTTTTGTCTAGTGCCTGGGTAGCATGTTGACTGGATGTTATACTCATGGTTTGGGTTGAGGAAGATCAAGGGTGAAACCCTCATCCTCTCATCAGTTCAGACTTAATTTTCAGAGTATTACAAACTATATCTAAGACTATTCAAAATCCATGTATAAGACTGATGCAGAATCACCTGACCAGTCTGGCATCCAGTTCCATGCAGAGGAACCTTTCTGAACAGCTTGGTCCAGGCAGAATGGTACAAAGGAGCAAATCTCTAGCACCTGCAAGTGGTGTTTGTTTCCATTCCATACTGTTCCTATGTCATCAGGATTTTTATCGAAAACCTCAAGACATGCTATCTTCATATACTCCAGTATTCAGAGGGCTTTGCAAGGGAAGAAAAATTTTAAAAGGTACTATCCCTTTTTAAAAGGTACTATCCAAAAATGCAATTCAAAAAGCCCTATTCAGTGGCTGTCTAACACAGGAGGGGCTACTTCCTAGACAAGTACTTTAACCACTATGCTATGACATAAATAATGAGTGCTGTTCCTGTGACATTAAAAAAAAAAAAAGGGACCCTGTTCATTTCTTTGAAAGAATTGATATAGGTGCATCCTCTCTGGTAAGGTTCCACTGCAAGTGGACAGGGGGGTTCCCAGGAGCCTTAATACAGTCTCCAGCACTCCAGAAAGTAGAGGGCTTTCAGGTGTTCCTCTGTGTTTGGCATTTCCTTTTGGCTGGCTTTAGGTGGTTCCATTTGCCCATGCTAGCTGTTCTGGATTGCCCTTTGGAGGCACCCAACTCTCCCCATGCACTGTGCAGGGAACCCAGGTGCCTAACACAAGATCTTAAATTCTGCTTTGTGGGGGCCAGGCATCTAAATGTGAACCATCACAGTGCCTAATTTGTAGGCACCTCATTCCATTATTGGATCTAGACCTTCCTCTCTCTAACGCTCAGAGAAACTAGCACCAGAAACCAGAACTGAAGGCTTAGTAGCATGGTGAGGAGAACTGCATAGCCTTGTTGTTATTTATTTTAGCATGTATAATGACAAGAAAATCAGAGGCTTGAATGCAGACACTAATCCTAAAATTCACAGAATCATAGAATCATAGAAGTAGGGTCGGAAGGGCCCTTGTAGATCTTCAAGTCCGACCCCCTGCCTGGGCAGGAGGAAAACTGGGCTCAATTGACCCCAGTCAGGTAGGCATCAAGCTGCTTCTTAAAGACCCCCAGGGAAGGAGCCAGCACCACTTCCCTTGGAAGTCGGTTCCAGATCCTAGCCACCCTAACTGTGAAGTAGTTCTTATGGATGTCTAATCTAAACCTACTCTCCAACAACTTGTGGCTGTTATTCTTTGTTATCCTGGGGGGCGCTAGGGGAAACAAGGTCTCCCCCAAACCCTTCTGGTCCCCCCTAGTGAGTTTATAGATGGTCACCAGGTCCCCCCTCAGCCTTCTCTTGTGAAGGCTGAACAGGTTCAGGTCCCGTAGCCTCTCATTGTAGGGTCCCGTAGCTTTCAGAACAAATTGTTCTGAAAGCTTTAATACTAGGGATACTCAGAAGGCCAAACTTGTTTTTCAATACAATTAGTGTCTTGCAGTGCTGAGCCTCACTTATGTACAATTTGCTTCCACATAATATACAAGCAAAAAAGCAGGGAGCATTTACAGTCAAACACAGTGAAGTCCAGTGACAAGATCTCTTACCTTTTGGACCTTTGCGACCAATCTCACCAGGAGGTCCTTTGAGACCTGGTAGACCACGAGGTCCAAGCTGTCCTGGGAAGCCATTTTCTCCAGCAGGTCCAGGAGCACCAGGTGGTCCCGGTGTACCTGGAAGACCTGTAGCACCAAATTCAGGCCTCCTAAGACTGGCTGCCAGCTGAGCCAGTTGTTCTGCAAGAAACAAACAGGAACGTACAAATTAAGAGAGAGATTCTGATTTAGTTAAGAAAAGAGGGGATTTTATAGAAATTCCAAAGATTTTGCACTTGATTGTCATTAAAGGAAAAGCATAGCTGATACAGAGTAAATACTGTACTAGGAATGCTGGCAGAGAAGAATTGGTAAGGTATCTGGTAAGCCTCAGGAGAGAAAACAGAAATTAGGATATAATCTTTAGGTGGTGGACATAGAAAAAGGGTCAAGCTTCAGGCACTTCCCTGTAAGCCAGCTGGTTTGGATGTTTCATGTAAACATTTGATAAGGTCTTGTTATCTGGAAATGTCTAAATGATTATAATGAGAATAGTTCAGATTTTTCCAAATCATTTTGTCCATCACCAAGTGTGATGTCTACAAGTATATTCAGGTGCTGTAAGCCTCTTCAACAGCCCTGCATTTTCTATCTTTCAAGAAATCACTTTGTATAAAAGGATCCTTTTACACTGGTAACAGATAGAGCAAAAGTTTTTTGTCCCTAGTGCAGGCAATCTGAAGTGAAAAAAAAAGAAAGTAATACTCTGTTGGGCAATTTTGAAAACAATGACTTTTGTTGAGAATTTTCAAATTAAATCACAAAGACGAATTTTATCTTGGTAAATTCTAGCATTACAACAGCATCATGTCCCAAAGGGCATCTTCTACAGCAGGCACTGAAAGAAGTGCCTGCTTTTTGTGTGTGCCTGCTTTTTGTGTGTGCAGGAAAGCATAAATTTTTAAACTCAATATATCCTATGCAATACCACAATATTAGAAAAGCTTCATACTTATGTTTATTAAAGAATCCTGAACAAATACAAGTAGGATTTTTTAACACCTGTCAATGGTTTTTACTTTGATGCAGCATGCAATCCTATATAAAAAGCAGTTCTACATGTGTATATATTTTGCAATTGATTGCTATAATTTGCACTTGGTCATTTTAAATAAAGCCATAATAACCATAATATTTTTAAACACAGTAGCAAACCATATTAGACAAAATATACTTATTTTACAAAAACATTGTTATTGTATAGTATTATAGAAGTTCTCTCTCTGTGTACAAAGTACTTAGCATTTCAGTGAGCTGCAAAGGACTTTTAAGTAGGGAAGAGATTTTCATTTCTTGTGTAATATATGAACTAATTTTGGGTAGAATTGTTTTGTCATATCCTCATCGATCCTTCTGTTCTGAAGAAAAGTGGGAAGGGCTGAACGCCTCTCTGGTACTGTCACTTCTGTCCCACACAAGACACTCCATGGGCCTGGTTCCACAATGTGGAAGGTAGGAGTCAGGGATCTGGGCAAGAGTTTGTAAGAGGTGACTTGTCCCCTCTCAAGAATGAGATTCTATGAAAAAGATAATACATCTTCATGGCAGCAATGGCCAAACCTCTACACAGATTATACAGAAGTCTGTGGGTTTGGGGAAAGCCCAACTGGCTGCAGTGGAAGAACAGAGGAGGAACTCTCAGGGGTTCTGGCATTGATTCTTCCTGGAAAAGTTTCTACAGCTGTTTTGAAAATGTTATTAATCATTATTCCTTTGTAGCTAGAGGGTTGAATCCTCCTCTAAGACCTGATTATTCAACTAACTACCTGAGAATTCCCACTGAACCAGTAGCAAAGGTGATGAAGAGTTAGCACAGCAGTTTTAAGCCACCACTCTCAGCCCCTAGCAGGGGATCATGACTGGGTCAAAGGGAAAGGCTGCTTGCAGACGTTTAAAAAAAAAAAAAGGATGCTTTACTTTAAACTCCACGTACTCCCACGCCACAGCCCAGCACATGCCCAAAAGAGGCAGTGTGTTAGTTGGACCCAGCTCACCTGAGGTCTGTATAGATCCGGTGCTTTAGTGGGGCTTTTTTGGTTCTTTTATCTAATAGCTGATTGACTCAGTTTTAGATAAAACTGCCAAAAAATTTTGCTGAAGTACCCAATCTATAGAGATGCTGCAGAGCTGGGTCAAAGTAACGTGTTGCTGCTTCCAGTAAAACAAAGTTTGTTTGTTTGTTTGTTTTTTTCACATCTGCAAGCAGACAAAGTGTCTAAAGTATTGCTGAGCTTTGTATGTCCTGGTTGATGGAAAAGATGCAAGACAGCCAACAACAAGACTGCTCCTCCATCAGGGGCTGGGAGTGGATGAATGAGAGTGGAATCACTGCCAAGACCTCTGTTGTCTCAGAAAGAAAACACTATAGGCTTCACTTGCTTCATACTGGAAGGTTATCTTTGCAACCATGAGGCCTAGAAACTCTGCCTTTTAAAAAGTGAAAACTTACATTTTGCAGAATCCTAATGTGTCAAAAGGGCCACACTGACATCAATATATATCGAGTAAGGTAGACCTGACCAGATGTGTTGTACCCCTTGTTTAAATGCAATGAAAAGTTAACATAGGTGAGATTTATTTACCTTGCATGACTCTCATGCAAACCTGTTTGATGTGCTGATCTGTTGGCTCTCTACCCTGTGATGAAAAAATTAAAAAGATGTACAGTAAAAGAAAATCATAGAAAATGATTGTTAGAAGGGAGCTCAGGAGGTCATTTAGTCCAACCCCCTCCTCAAAGCAGGACCATCTCCAGCTAGATAATCCCAGCCAAGACTTTGTCTAGCTGAGTCTTAAAAACCTCCAAGGATGGAGATTCCACAACCTCTCTGAGTAACCTATTCCAGTGTTTACTACCCTCATCGTGAGAAAGTGATGAAAACCATAGAAAAATCATACAAAATGATACAATGGAGACTTGCTGAAGGATGACAGAACTTCCAGTCCTTCAGTTTACACATGTTGCTATTCCCACTGCTATCAATGGGAGTACCAGTGCAGGGGCTATGTATAGGAGCTTGACACACTCACCTCCACATACGAGTTAGCACTTGCAATATAATTCCAGGACCAGCTGCAGACTGAAAACCAAAGGTTCCAGTCTTGCAGGTCAGAAATTATTACATTGTGTAGTTGTCATATTTAAGCATTTACTCTGTTTCAGAACATGCAAACATGTTTGAAATCACCTGGGCTTCATGCTTATGTCTCCTGACCTACCGGGCCAGGTTCATTCTACTGTCACTGCAAATCTCATTCCACAGTACAGCTGAGAGAGAGAAAAATATATGTAGGATGAAACTAGCACTTACGGCTGGACCCTGGCTGCCAGGCAGTCCCGGAGCACCTTGCTCACCCTGCATACCACGAGGTCCAGGTGATCCACGTGGCCCTTCCATGCCAGGCAATCCACGACTTCCTTCAGGCCCCCGAGAACCAGGTTCTCCAGGGTTACCAGCCTAAAATGAAAGACAAGGAGCTTGGAGGACTGCATGCTTGCAATGTAAGCCATCCATTTAGCTTCTTCAGTACTGGACATGTTATATCCTGTTCACTCATGCTTTCTCATTGCGTCCTTTGAAAGATGGAACCTCTTTCAAATTCCATTGTCCACCTACTTTCTGAGTCTTTATTTCTGTAAACAAATAATATGCTTTCAGCTGAAAAAGGAATAAAGCAAAATAAGAAACATGGTAAAACCCAGAGCAAATAAGGAGCCTTTTTCTGATTTGTGCATCTTCTATTATACTTGTCGGACCAGAGCAATACGTGGCACCACATATATCCATGAGAAACACAAAGAGCCCTCATTCCTTTCTGTCCCAATGATC